ACTATATATTATATATTTTATATTATATATTATATATATATCATTTTTGTATTCATCGCATATGACCAATGTTGATCAATTTCGTTCATGACCATGGACGTTTCCATCAGCTCCAGGCTGAAACAGCTGGCAATTTGGCGCGTCCGGACCTGGGACGGACCTGGGAGTTGGAGAGGTGGATGATCCCATTGAACTGGTGGGATTTTACATGTTTTTACTCGTGTATTACTAGGAGACTACCCTCTGGTTATGTCAAAATAGCTATTGAAAATGGCCCAGTCGAAATAATCAGTGGGTTTAGCCATGAAAAATGGTGATGTTCCATAGTTATGTTAGTTTACCAGAGACTAACTGTTAACTGGTGGGTTTTTCACATTCCAATATACTTGTTTATTACTAGTATCTGTTGTTGTTTTTTTACACTAGCCAAGTTGGTGCAGACGTGGTGCTGATCTGATGTGAAGGGCGGTATCTCCATTGGAATGATGATCCCAATTGACAAACATCACATCCACTGCCATCTTAGATTACCCAAAGGGTACATCCTGGGCATGTTCCCTTTGACAAACCATCGAATGTATTGTTAACCTTGGTGATTTCCCAACATTCTCAGTCGACCCCAGGGATCTCCTTGAGAACTCAGCAGCCGTACTCTCAGCCAATTCGGCTCAACTGAACGTAGTGTCCCAGCGTGGGTGTCCACGCACTGGCCAGGCTTCGAGGCATGCGTCTTCCGCGTGACTGGGTCAAGCTCGGATGAGTACTCTATAGGATGTTATTATCAGAGAGTATGGTTTCCTAATTTATTAATATCAATAGTCAATATCATCTTCAATGGGGTCGCTGTCATTAAATTGTGAATAACAATAATGATAGGTCAACATTGTTTACTAAAGACAATAATCGCATCTCGCTGATATTAAACACCCCCGTTCATTGGTCCCAATGATGTGGAATTTCCCTACTTGTCAAGTCGTTTCCTACTTGTAGTCTAGGTCTTGGTTATTAACACAGACCTTCCGATCATGATTCTGGATGAAGTATATATATGTATAACATTTATTGAACTATAAGGACCTCACTGCAAAGTGACTGTACAGACTGTAGAGGTTAGGTATGGCCAGCGCCAAGATTGCCGAACTCTTTAGCTCGGTGTTTTTGTTTTTTTTTCGATGACACATCGCCGTGATTGTGGCTTAGATCCCTCAAACTTGCAGGTATTTTTCCCATGTTGATGCACATTTGTATGTATTTGTTTTGTTCACCATGTCTTTGCTGCCTTTGATTCAATTACTCATAGATACTCATAGTGTTAAGATGTATTAAGGGATATGCTACCTCACCTCAGTTGTGATAGTTGTGACCCCATACATTCCTGGCTGATACTTTCAACTAGCTTATGTGACCCCAAGATGCGCAAAATGAAACATGATGGGGGTGTGGATTGACGTATTCTTGTCAGTATACATTATTATACAGTATTACATTTTCATTTCGATTTACGTTTATTATGTTTTTTGTTACTATTGTTGTCATAGTGATTTTGGTTTGTTACTATGTATAAATACCAATTATCATTATTGTCATTTGTTCTACTACTGTAACTATTAATCATGACAATATTTTGTGGAAATGAGTAACAAGTATATTCTTATTGCTACCCTTACCGCTTTGATTAATCGACTAACAATAATAATCAATAATATGAACAAGTAAGAATATCAGTAACAGTAAGAATAAGAGTATATAACAGTAGTAATGTTAATAGTTTCACTATGTGAATAATATGGTTACTGTTCTTATTACTAGTGTTACTGATCAATATGATATTCCCATTAATATGGGTAAAAAACAATGTGATTTGCACCATTTTGATAGGTATGTTTACCATTCCCAGTCATGAGTGGTTTATGGCATTGTTTTTACCCACATTATTCGTTCATGGCGATGTTAGATCTTTTTCTGGAGATTTCATTGTGATTTTAGCTATTATTAGCCTTAGGGATTTAGCTATTGAAGCCACCCATTTCGTTCGTTGATTTACCCATTCAGGGTAATTTGCCCATTGAGTTTCCATGGGTAATTTGCCCATTTTACATTTTACCAATGGATAATTTGCCCATTGAGTTTCCATGGGTAATTTGCCCATTTTACATTTTACCAATGGGTAATTTGCCCATTGAGTTTCCATGGGTAATTTGCCCATTTTACATTTTACCCATGGGTAATTTGCCCATCGAGTTTCCATGGGTAATTTGCCCATTTTACATTTTACCCATGGGTAATTTGCCCATTGAGTTTCCATGGGTAATTTGCCCATTGAGTTTCCATGGGTAATTTGCTCTTTTTTTACCCATGGGTAATTTGCCCATTTTACCCATTTTAAGATGCTGATTCTCCAGTTCGCAAAGTCTGAGTTTCCCACCAGGCCATGGGTCTTTGGATGGCGCCTTTCCTGGTGGCCGCAGTGGCCACTGAGGCAGCTTCGCTGAACGTGTGCTGCTGGTTGCCTTAGAAAAGTGGCTGAATTCTATGGTATTACTATGGTATGATGGTACATATAACGAAGTAGTTAATGATTTAATGGATGCTCATGGGGGTTAATTTTATATATATATATATATATAAACCAACTTATTGGCACCATCCTGTACTTTATATTGGCATATCTTGGCTGTCAAAGTGGGGTATATAATTATACCAAATCAAAAGGCTAAATTTGAGTTGCAAAATGATGAAGCAGTGGATTTAGAGAAAGCCACATGTTCATCATCTTGGGCACATGAGCTGTTTGTATTGCTGATTAACGTTATGATCCATATTTGTTGCAGGCTTCAAACGAAATACACTTGCGACTGACTTAGCAAAAATGGTGATAATGCTATCGAACATGCAGTGTTACTCTGGTTGGTGGTTTGGAACATGAATTTTATTTTCCATATATTGGGAATAATCATCCCAACTGACTAACCAGCAACCACCAACCAGTACTTATTTCTACATATTGGTAGAAATGAATGTCGGGTGCATTTCTTTGGTCAGCTGTCGGTTTGAGGTGGCCGAGAATGCCACGCATCTGCTGAATCTCCATCTGGCCGCCAGCGTCGATTCAGAGTGTTCCGACACGCCAAGTGTTGCTGGGACCTTTTTTAGGATCACTGGGATAGGTCGGCGAGGTTGAAGTGTATATGTGTATGCCCCAAGAATGCGTTGGTTCCTATTTATGTATATAGATGCTTGGTGATTCTTCAAGATATATTGGCTGTATAGTGTAGTGCATATCAGTCCATATAAGAATCGTATTAGAATTGGATGGGGAAGTTCCCACCTTGCAGCCAGGATGTTCCTTTTCGGGATGGGCAACTCAATGGGTGTATGTTAGTTGAGAGGATGGTGTGATACTTGTATAGCTAATCAAGTCTGTTTGTTGACACCAATAGTAGCCTTTAAATTATTAATAAATAGTCCTGTTTAAAGCTTTTTAGTTCTTTGAATCACCACTGCTTGCTTATAGCAACTGACGTCGGTTTCCCCCAAGTTCGTCAGGCAGAAAAATGCATGATCTGGCCTCAGGTGTCTCGCGCAACATGCCTCGGCAAAAGCAAATGCTACTTGGCAAAGTCGGGGCATACATTTATATATATACACAATGATATATAATATAATACATTATATATATATGGATAGATATGTTTATGTTTATACGTATGCATTTGCATATAGAGTAAAAAACAAATACATGTATAGAATCTTTCAAAAATTGGCGGCATTCGTTCCGATCCTCAGGCTTGCCATGTGATATATGCAGCGTGAAACAGTGTAAAACCCAAGGAAAAGGATTCACACACCCGGTAGGGCTAGACAAGACATGCTTTGCGCTGGGACTTAGCTACAAGTAGGTCGTGTTCCGATATAGTGGATTAGTGGCTTGGTGACCCATCAAAGCCATGGACCCATCGGTTGCCATGCCAGGTATGTTCCTAGAGCTGGAGAAGCGCAACCTGTGCCTCCCTTGCGAGTGGGCTGGTCAAGCGTTGCCCTGTGTTCCTCGGAACCTTGGTGTTCTATGGGCCCAGCTTTCACCAGATCAATGAGAGTTAAGAATGGGGATTTACCATCTGGTTATTTGTGCCAGTTCGCCATGGAAAATCCACCCATTTTTGAGTTCGGTAAACCCAGGTAAACCATCTATTTCTATGGGCCATCGAAATACTTTGGCTATGTTAGTCACCAGAGGGTATAGGGGAATTCATGGGGATTCATCAAGATTCATATTGACAAGCAACATGACCAAAACACCATGCCGCTTTGAAGGATTGGACTTTGGGATCCTTGGAAGCTCGCTTCAAGTTGACCTGGTTGGTGGTGACTGGAACCATGGAATTTTATGACTTTCCATTTCATATATGGGAATAATCATCCCAACTGACGAACTCATATGTTTCATGGTTATTGCATCACCAACCAGTTATCAACTTGACATCTTTGGACCTCTACACCCTCCCCGAAAGATGATGAACACCGGGGGATGCGGATTTTTCTGTAAAACAGGTATACCGGATATACCATTTGTTGCTGAAAATCATCATTGTCTCTCTTAAAATGGTGATGATGGGCAGATGGGCATATCTCGTTTTCAGACACGCTCAACTATCATATCAAGCTGGTTAGGTATCATGTTATACTTTATGGTCCCATTAGATCTCATGATGTGGATGGTTGCGAACTCCAGCACCACCTTGAGTGGTATCAACTGGTGCAGGATTTCCTCCCCTGATATGGTCTCATTAGATCCCATTAAATCACCATTAGATTAAATCTACTTAACTCCCATAAAACGCCATGAAAAATCGCATAAAACACAATTAAACACCATTAAATCCACTTAACTCCCATTTGCCACGACAGTTCTGAGTTCCATCTCCCCAAGATTTCCAGATTTCCAGCACCAAGGAACGCGGCCTATCCACAAGGGCGAGTGGAAAGCTGTGAGATGAGCCGCCCGCTCAGCCAAAAGCGGTGATTTTGAACCAGAAAAAGCCTTGATTTCATATGATTTTCTGATGTTTTCTCTATGATTTCGGATGAATTTATTTGATTCCATATGACTAAATATGATTCTATATGCTTTTTCACATATTGATGTGAGTAGTTGAGACCACCAACCAGTCTGTGGCCATCGCAATGCCTCAACAAGGCAGTGTTTCACCTATTTGTTGACACAGCACGTACTCCGTGCTCCAATCCATCTTCTCATGAATGTTTGTGAACGTCTGTCAGCAGGAATTTCCAGAGGAAACTGGCCTCCTAGATGTGTAAGTTGCTTTGTACCTAGGCTAGCAACTGGATCTATGTTATATGAGCAATCGTCAAAACTCCCGAATACTAAGATATGTATTCGTTGGACATTGGTTTTCATAAAATGTAAAAAACTGAGCTTAGCGATGGGACCTTTCCAAATAGCGATACCCCATGTTGAACTTCATGAGTGTTGATTTCGTCAAGTGCTCGCATCGGTGATATACTTGGGCTCAGGGTTGAAAGAAAAGGACAGGGAAAGGAAAAGAAAAGAAAAAGAAAAGGAAAAAGGCAGGAAGAGAAAAAGAAACAGGAAAGGAAAAGGAAGAGGAAACAGAAAGGAAAGGAAAAGTAAAGAGAAAGGCAAAGGAAAGAGAAAGAAACGGAAAAGGAAAGAGAAAAGAAAGGACAAGGAAAGGGAAAAACTAAAAAAGGACACGAAAGGAAAAGGACAGAAAAAGGGGAAGCAAAAGGAAAGGAAAAGAACAGATTCTGCAAAAAAAAAACGGGTCGGTTTTAGCGATACCATAGCGATGCCTTAGCGATACCCTAGCGATACCCAAGTTCTCCCAATTGCACAGGATCCCAAACTACTTGTACCTGTACTACTACTTCTACTACTACTACTACTACTACTACTACTACTACTACTACTACTACTACTACTACTACTACTACTACTACTACTACTACTACTTACTACTACTACTTCTACTACTACTACTACTACTACTACTACTACTTACTACTACTACTACTTCTGCTACTACTACTACTACTTCTTCTACTACTACTACTACTACTACCTACTACTACTACCTACTACTGCTACTACTACTACTACTACTACTACTACTACTACTACTACTACTACTACTACTACTACTACTACCTACGACTACTACTACTACTACTACTACTACCTACTACTACTACTACTACTACTACTACTACTACCTACTACTACCTACTACTACTACTACTACTACTACTACTACTAGAATTCCTGCTACGATCGCCAGGATTGTGTTACTATCCTTGCTAATATTTGTAATACTTCGAATTTCGTAGTACTACTTTGGCTAGTATTAGCGCTGCTAGCACTTCTAGTACTCCTAAAATCTCGGTACGGTTACTAGTAGTAGTACATACAAGTATGAATAGTACTACAAATACAATGTCACATCTACTTGAGCAGTGTTTAGCCTTAGCGATACCCCTTGTCAATCAATATTGCCCAATGATGGTAAAATTGCTACGAAACTGTGGTTAGCGATGGGACCTTTCCAAATTATGTTGATGTCTATTCGCCAGAGAAGGAGTTTAGACAGCCGCACATATAACCGTTATGATATATTTATCCCTATGGGTCCAATATGATCCAAATAGAAGATTATTGCAGATTCCCCTGCATTTGTTGCTCCAATTCGGCAAGTATTGTACTGTTCTCCACTTAAAACAATACCAAAATATTTCAACTCAAAGATACCCTCTGGTAATTTAACATAGCCATGGAACATGGCCCATTTACAGATGATTTTCCCAATAAAACCTCCATTTATATTGGATTTTCCACAGCTATCTTAATTACCAGAGGGTAACACATATACAAATAGTTTCCAGCTGCAGTGGATGGATAAGAAATTGCAGGAAGGCCCACGCTGTGTTATGTTAGTCGGTATGATTCTCCCATCGGACTCCACCCTATGGATCCCAGCAAAAAAAATGCAAAGGTACTTAGCCACAAAGATTATCATATACAATATTATATATATAATATAATATATATATATATATATATATATATCCATTTATGAACCAGTGGTGTTGCTGATAAAATGAAAACATCCACAGAATAGTAGATATATCATTGGAAAATTCATATATTTTCCATTACCCTTTGGTAAACTAACATAACTATGGAAATTCACCCTTCTTAATGGGTAAATCCACTATTTCCATTTTCAATAGCTATGTAACAAATTACCAGAGGGTACATCCCATAATCATCCCAGTATTCACCATTGTTAACCAGTAAATCACCATTTTCCTATGGGGCCTTTGATGGTGCATTGAACTGTTTTTTTTCCATCATTCATCGCCTCATCCCCATGTCGTTGGTCCGAGGTTGTGAGCACCAGCAGATGGTCTCCAAGGTCTCTGACTGTACGGATGTCAGTGGCGACATCCGCCAGGATGACTGCACTTTGGCGGGCCCGGTGGCGCGCAACCCGTTGGTCCTGGTGGATGCCGGAGATCAATGGATATACCCGGCCTGGTAAACCTACAAAAAAATATGGAAAATCACCATGCTATTAATGGGCAAATCAGCTATATTGCCTATATATAAATGGGCAATTTTCCATAGCTCCGTTTGCTTACCAGAGGGTAGTATCTAATGATGCTTAATACTGAGCTAATCACCAATAGTTGATATAATCAATATAGGAGAATTGATATGATATCTGATTCATGATTGTTAAGAATCTAACTTTTAACCAAGAGTTAATATAAATATCACCAATATAGGGAATGAATGTAAAGGACGTTAAACAAAAACACACACTAGACAAGAATGGATCATTATATGATCCGGCAGGAACTGAATCCTGAAACATGCAAACCAGCCTAGATCGTTAGATTAATAAAGGAGCCATATGAGGTACTTCTCGAAAACGATGTAGGGCATCCAATATTGTCAAACGTAGTTAAAACCAGAGTCCATAGAGTTTTGACCAGCATGTTGAAAATCCAAAATAATGTTTCGGCGATTGTTTCCCAAAAAGACCCAAAGTTCGTCGGCGACATGATCTCGGCGAAAATATGCCAAAAAATCATAATACTGTCGGCGATATGGTTTCGGCGAAAATCTGAGGAAGGTTCTGATGCATGCAATACAGATTGTGGCAACCGTGTAGGGTCGAAACAACGCAGTGTAACAGCTTGGTCAACAGTTCAAACAGAGTTTTGCAGGTACAAGTGGTTGATCAGACCACTCATCCACCGAAATGCCATAGCTTCGTTGGACTGGATAGGCAAATCGGCTCCAGTCCCCCTGCGAATATAAACAGGTTTCCTGTAAAAGTAACACGGCAAGAGTCAAGGAAGTTTTACATCTGTTCAGATGTTACACACACACACCCCGCTTGTAGCGGGGTTTGATTTTTTGGAAGACCATCGCAGCAATGTCGACAAAATTAGATACATAAAGCTGTTCCGGAGCTAATGTACATAACTGTATTCAGTCACTAAGAAGGGGGCTCGTCTCAGCTTGAAGTGTTTCGATCGCGTCACGGAAGCTCATGTCCTCAAGCGCTCTCCACGTATCGTTGATTTCCCCAGATGCCATAGCAGCCCTCAAAGTGGTAGAAAGTTGTTGAGCCAAGTCCTGGATCGTCGGGATAAAGCGGGTTACCTCCGTAGGTGCCGTGGTCTCAATGGGAACGTTGTGAAAAGGTTGATGGCCATGTACTAGGGGAATTTCAAAATGATGGCGCCAATAGTCCGCTGTGCGCAGGGACCACTCCCAATTGCCCGAAAGACCATAAAAGTAGTGTTCAGGATCACGACATCTGGAGAGCCCTGACAAGGGGATCTCTTCAATGAATAGCTCCCTGGTGTTGTTGGAGTGGGTAAAGATCTTGAATTGGATCTGGTGAACCACGCGGGAAGAGAAGTGAGCACGATGGAGGTAGTTGTGTGTAGAGCTTGGCTCTGTCGGAAACGGGATATCAGGAGGTGCAAGGCCTGAATATGTATCAGAATGGATCGTAGTTCCAGGGTCAAGAGCTGTACTGTCAGTCGCCAAGGGGCCCGAAGTGGTGTTGGTAGGAGGGTCAGAAACGTCAGAATGACAAAATGCAGCAGCCTGGGTGTCTGGTACTTGAGCAGGGTCAGTAGGAGCAAGTCCACGAGTAGGATTCGAAGGCCAAGCCAAACCCGCAACGGTCGCGTCTCGTTTGTGCTCCATAGGTGAAACGATCGGAAATGTGAGGAATGGTGCAACAAAGGCTGAGGCATCAAAAAATTGCGTAAATAAGTCCAGCAAGAACATGAAAACCTAAGAATAACGAAGTCCAGTTCGCAATCAAGTGGTTCAATTGCGACAAAGAAGCCAAAGCTCAAAGACAAATACGGTATAAATCAAAAAGTCCCTTGTGTTGGTGAGGTGTCAAGAGAGAGTAGAAAACCCGCAGCATGGTCTTTTTGGCCGGCTAGCGTATCAGGGCAAGATCACACCGGAGCTAATTTTGTAGCATTGCAGACGTAGTACGAAAGGCTGTGTGGTACCCGGAATGAGCAAAGAGGATTCGCGGGAGTTGTACTGCCGAAGTCTCCATTCAGGTCGGTATTCCTCCAAAAGCTGCAAGATCGTCATATCATTGGACACTTGGAATGTATCACCGTCCAGGTCGCAAAAGCGAAACTCCAAATTCGAGGGATCAATTTGGATGTCCCATTGGGACCTCAATCTTTTGGAGATACAGAAGCGAAGTTCGCCAGTTGGGATGAGGCCGGCTTCAACTGGTTCCATCTGACGTGACCAGGTAAACAGAGCCTCAAGTTCGTAGCCACTAACATTTCTAAAATTGGAGCTCGCCATAGCCATGTAGTGTTCACGGTCAGGTTCGCTTCGGTGAGTCAATGCCTGTAGGGGAGAGAAGTCAACCAAGATAAGAACGGGTCTGTTTGGAGGAGGGTTTACATCACCAGGAAGGCCTCGATGTCCAGCAAACCATCCAACGGTTCGTGTACCAAGCGGTGTCTCAATCGTGGATGTAGCGCGATATGGATGGGGCCGAGAAGAATGAGCCATTGCGTCGAATATCAAGTGTCGAGGATAAAGCGAAAAGCCCAAAGCCCAAGCTGCAAAATGGGTTGAAATGACCAAAGAATAAAGCTCAAAGTGTTGGAAAGGGAAGAGAAACGGTGTACCTAGTAAATGGTCACACAAAGAGACGGTAAATCACAGGTCTTTTTTCAAGCCGACAAATGATGTGGTATATTACACACTTGAGTCCGACATATCCATCGGGTCCATATCGTTCGCATCCAGTGGGCCATGTACTTGTTGAGGATGGACGGCGGGGCGAGTGAGATGTACAGTACGTTGTAGTGTTGCCGATGGGGAAGAAGGTGGTGTAGACCGCCAAGGTGGCCAATATAAAGAGGTAGTGGTTCCTTGAGAGTGGTGTTGGGCAGAGCGTCCCCAGCATGACTGCAAAATATGGAGGTGGTCCGGTATCGCTTCGTACGGTTGGGAGACATAGACGTTGGAGTGTTCAGGGTGTGGTAAAACGGGAACTGTAGTTGCCGTAGGGGAGGAGGATGATGATTGAATTGGTACGTCATAGTATCGGCGCCAATGATTAGCTGTGGTACGCACGGTCGCCTGGTCGTTGGTGAGGTGCATGTTCTCCAGAAATGTTTCCACTGGTTTCCACGTTTCAATACCATCAAGTGTCCTTTCCACGATCCAAAGTTCATCTGAACGGTTAGACAAAGGATAGCTCAGCTTCTTGATGAAGACGGAATGGACAGTGGTAGAAGTCGGAATTGTTCGCGCTGCACGAGGAATATAGGATGCCGAGGTAGGATCATCAGGTGGCAGGTGTGAGACAAGGCCATGTATGGATGTAGGTGGTGAACGGTGTGAGACCAATCGAGCAGGATCATCCGTGTTGGAGGTCATCATGTACGATCACAAGAGTATGATAACGAGAAATACTGAACTGAAGCCAAAAAGCCGTGGGGAAGGTCAATGATGAAGGAATAAATAACGAACATCACCAAATGGAAAAAGAGAAATGGATGACACAAAGAAAAATCAGAACCGGGAAGGTGGACATCATAACGAGTGTTTTCCTTTTTTCCTCATAGACGTGAGCCTCGCCGAGATCTATCAAGACGGCTAATCACTCGGCCGCTTTAGTGTATCTGGTGGCCGTGACGAATGGATGCCCACGGGGAATAACTTGAACATGTACAGCAAAGCCTGTGTCTTGTGCATCCGGATGGGGTGTAAGCAGCAACGGTGAACACTCACGGGTCGTGAAGGCATCGAGATGTTGATGAGTTTTCCATCTCGGGTAAAACCAGTTCAAAACATCCAAAAGAGAATGAGGAAGGTCGTCAAGCATCTGAGCTCCTTGATCGGTGTCAATCATCATGTAGAAATCTGACGCTGGTAGGTGTATCGACCAGCGTTGTAGCAACGTGTCGGTGACTACGGTTTTGAGGTCTGAAACGAAATGACTGCGAGCATAGTCCGGGTAGATCACCTTGAACGTCTGGAACAGGCTGTCATAGGTGGCCGTAGGAAGGTTGCCCGCGACCGTGGGGGTCAAGATGTTGTAATAAGGGTTGCGTACGGCCAGTTGTTGCATCGGCTTCAGGTCCAATTGGAAAATAACCGGTCGGTGAGGTGTCGTAGGCGAAGACCGGTTGGGTGGGTGCTGAAGTGACGAAGAGCCCATAGCGGAAGACGATGTTCTGGTTGGAGAGCGTGAGCGTCGTGTAGGTGAGATCCTCTCGTGGGACATAGCTCGCAGTTGGCAATAGCGGTCCAGGTGAATGCGGAGAGACATAATAAATGGCTGGCGGGTTGTGTGATACGACGTGTCAAAATTCAATGGGGCAACCACGCCCATGGTTCTGAAGATTAACGAGAAGAAAAATTCCCAGAAGGAAGGTCAAATGATTGGTAAAGCTGGGATACAGTGCCGCAAGTTCTTTTTTCTTTTTTCGTTGGTTTGCATATGTCGTTGGTCAGCCAAGTTTGTCTTTGATCTTATTCCACATAGAGCGAACATCGTCCTCAGACTTGCCCATCTTGGTCGAGATCACCTTCCATGAAAATCGAGACTTCTCGTCAGCCTTCAGAGTGCGTAGTTTCTGTTTGTCTTCGGAGGTCCAGAGTGACAGTGGGCTCGAGGAGCGGGATCGGGATTGGTCACGTCGGCGACGACGCTTGGCAGGCGCCTTTGGAGCGGATTTGGCTTTCTGTTTGCGATTCGGCGGTGATGGTGTTCTGGTAGAAAGCTTCGAAGGTGCAGGTAGGACATCAGGTGGCGGAGCGGCAACATGTTGGTGTGGTTCAGGGAGATGGGTTTCCACCAGTTCATCCATAAGTGTCTCTTCCTCCGCCATATCCGGCGATGGGATGGGTGCATTGTCAATGAAGGCGTTGGTCTGGTCCGAGT